GCGACTCTCAACCCTGAGGTCGTAGGCTCGCACCCCCGGCTGTGCACATTTAACATTCGCTCGAACGAATATATCGTGAGGAAACCGGCCTGCCTTAGACCCAAACAGTCGATGGCGTCAGGCACAGGAGGCGTCATCTACTCGCCTATTAGATTGTCAAATGATCATGAAACACATACAGAAATCTGAGGCCCAGATCTAAAAATGTTGAAGCCATTGATTTATTTATCTAATTTTGTATAAAATTGGTAAATGAATAAAACTCGTAACATGAAAAGTTACTGGATTAACGTCTGTTATATGGTATCATGGTCCTAATAGTATGTATAAAAGAATATGGACGGATTTTCGTTTTTATTATTTATCTAATTAGTGTATTATTTAAAACTTTACAGCACGATTTTATATAAAGTCGAACAGAAGAAAAGTTCTGCTATACAATGGCTATACGTACTTTATATATATAGAACTAATTTGAGTGTACGACCAACCAGGCTCCAAAAGATAAACCACTCCTTATATGGAAATTGTATTCGTTTTTACAACAAGCTCCCAAGCGAAATTAGAGAATTATCACTAAATAAATTCAAAGCCCTCGTTAAACGAAAATTAATCAACAAAGCTTTTTATAAATTTGAGGACTACTTAAATGATCCTAATCCTTGGGATTGAATTGCTCCAGTTCAAACAATTTGTATGACAATACTTGGCGATTAAAAAGAGTGGCGGAAAGTTTCTTGCCAGTTCTTCTTACCCGCTCTACGCCCTTGACTTGCGAACTGGTAGTAAATGTAAATTTACGATTAATTTAACTTGACGATTCAAAAGTGTACTTGGTTACCTACTTGAATAAAGATATTTTGAGTTTGAGTTTGAGTTTAAAGAAAAACTGCTCAGTAACCAAAATCAGCGATTTGTTTGCTCTAAAACAAAATTTTCAAATTGCAAGGCATATATTCATATTACAAAGGATCTACATGTTGCCAAGGAATGGGGTAGTCACAACCATGACCCGCCGAACTATGCTCTAAAGGACGATCTTATTTTTTTCTTTTAATTGTGTAAAGGCCTATATTCACTTTGATTAGTGCGAGTGCAAGTGATTCGTAATTGACATTGATTAGTGCAGGTGTGTAGTGAAAGTAGTGTCCAATTATTGTTTAGTGGCTCTGTTAAGTAAATTCAGTTGTCATATAGTTTGGCAGGCACGCTGCGAGTGAGGGGGAAAGGGAGCACAGTCACAAGGGAGCACTTCACTCGCAAAAAAATAGAACACGCTTCTAATCGCTTTACTACGCAGCCAACTAATCACCTGCACTAATCACTAATCAAAGTGAATACAGGACTTAAAGGCTAGTTGGTCAAATTCTTAGGGTAGGAAATTAAATACTCCAATAAAGACTTGCTTCACTATAATTGATTTCACTGACTTTACATAAACTGTATAACTGCGGACTTGGACAAAGGAATTGCCCGTGCGCATGTGTCACAACCTCTTTTATAATCTATTCCCTACTCCGACTCGACCATCCCACTTCGGGGATATGTTCGAGTCAATTCGTAAACAACCGAACGAGTCAAATAAGCAACTATTGCACATGCGCACTTGTAGCAAGATTATTAGGAATATGTTTCATAAAAAATGTTTAAAATTTAATTACATAAATATTAAAAGATAACAATTGTATTAATATATTTTATATCCTCATAGGAGTGTACTTTGACGCGTTAAATTTAAAGAAGTTTATTCTCATTAAAAAGATACATGTCACTAAATTGAGAAAAAAATAATAATATTAAAAACATAAAAGTATAATATTGAGATTTTAATTTGGATATTATTCAAGATAAACAATCCGCGAAAATAGAGGACACCGTGAGCCATTTCTGCCAAAACCGTCCATCTTTTAGTCGATACCAACTCCGGGGAAATAAATACAGATAATGCAACTTTTTCTACAGCTGTGATACTTTTTGCCATCCAACACCTTTTGTCTTCAGTCACCGTGAATACGCACGCTGTAAAGCACGCGAAACGTCGGTTTAATTTAAAATTATGTTAAATAATTGTAAATTTATAATAATACATAACTTTAATCCGGTTAAAAAGTCAATAAAAGACAATTTCAGATTTTATTGTTTTGAAAGTTTACTTACTGTTTCGTTAACAATTTCCTAGGAATTTCTTCCTTAAACCTATCGTTTAAGTTTGTTAAGAGAACAATTTAAAAAATAATTAAAATCTAAATAAAATATAATTAATATTTATTTTTAAAATATGAAAAATTATTCGTTGTGTCTGTTATCAGCAGCGTCAAACACTGTGCCTGGTTGTCAAAGTCAATAGAACTTAAATCTATTTTCAAGATTTCATACAATTTTTTTCTGTATGAATTTTGTATTTGACAGGGCTTAAACGGGGACTAACGGGAAAATGGACCTGTAAGTCTGATATTGTATGCAATTTCAATGTAGTTCTATCAATTTGGCCATATATGGGCTGTAAATAAAGAAATTAATACATCTCAGCGCTGGTTTCTCAAGCTTAGGGTCGTGTAGTCATCTCATACAGACTAAGGGGCAAATGACCAAGACAGAGACGGATTGGCGAAGAGACTTAGTTCTGCAGCTTACGCGGTTAAAAAAAATAGCTCACTAACTGATTTCGATACAGCTAGACTTATTTTATTTTATTTTTTATAGCTATGTGTGTTGTTCCCACGAGAATGTAAGTGCATGCTCCTGCTGATAGAGGACAAATCTTTGTTTTTAATTTATTTTATTTTTATTAATTATTAAATGTCATGTGGAACATGGTGTAATGGCTGTAGCTCCTTACAAACATTTTGTAAAACAAAAACCTTGGCGATTAAAAAGATTGGTGGAGAGTTAATTGTCAGTTCTTCTATTACGTTCTACGCCCTTGATTTGAGAACTGGCAGTAAATGTAAAATTAGAATCATTTAGTGTATATTAATTTTTTGGCGTTCATAAGTGCACATTTTGTTACCTATATGAATAAATGATTTTTGAATTTTGAGTCTGATCCTATTTTAACAGAACAAAGTATGTACGTTTTGAAATGTAGGTTTGGCTAATTTTTCAAATTTTTTCTAGCACAATTCTGTAAGAAACTGAATGGGAAGGAGATTTTAATTTATTGTGGCTACACGTTTTATAAACATACAAAAATGTCAAATGGATATCGGTACACGTGCTCCAAGGTGACATCCCAAAAGTGCAGAGCATACCTTCATGTAACGAAAAATCAAGAAGTATCTAAAGGGATTTTAGTACATAATCACAGTCGACCGAAATATGTAATAAAACAAGATATAATTTATGTTATCGGTTAATTGTGAAAAAATAAAAATTTAAGTATCGAAAAAAGTTTGTTTATGTTATATTTATGATTTAGTAAATAGCAGTTTCAGCGAAAGACCCTCATCTCTGAGGTCGTAGGTTCGATCCTGGGTTGTGCACCAATGGACTTTCTTTCTATGTGCGCATTTAACATTCGCAAGCCCTGTGGCATTGAGAACGTCCATGGGTGGTGGTATTACCTAACATCAGATGAGCCTCCTGGCCGTTTGCCTCCTATTACATAAAACAAATCAAAATATTTAAAAAAAAAAGTTTTTAACCGGATTAAAATTATGTATTATTATAAATTTACAATTATTTAACATAATTTTAAATTTATCCGACGTTTCGCGTGCTTTACAGCGTGCGTGGTCACGTTGACTGAAGACAAAAGGTGTTGGATGTCAAAAAGTATCACAGCTGTAGAGAAAGTTGCATTATCTGTATTTATTTCCCCGGAGTTGGTATCGACTAAAAGATGGAGGGTTTTGGCAAAAATGGCTCACGGTGTCCTCTATTTTCGCGGATTACAAACATAACAGGACAAAATATTTTTCTATTCGCATAATTTTGTTATATAAATTTTGATTTTGTTTCAGCATGCATTTATAAGAAATTCAATGGAAAGAGTGTTCTCTTGTATGGCGGAAATACGTTTTGCAAACACACATATATAAGCGAAGGATACCGCTATTCATGTTCCAAAGCGACCTCTCAAAGGTGTAACGCTTACCTTCATGTAACCAACGATTTGAAAATATCAAAGATGTCCCTAAATCACAATCATGATCCGCCGAAGATTAGTATACAAAATGATCTGATACACATTTTTCGAGATTGTAGCAGAAAATAAATTATACCTAACGTAAGATTCCTTTGAGGAATGTTCGTGTTCACGCAATATTAGACTTGGGTGAGCAGTGTTCGCCTAGTGGCTTCAGCGTGCGACTCTCAACCCTGAGGTCGTGCTCGACCCCCGGCTTTGCACATTCAACATTCGCTCGAACGAATATATCGTGAGGAAACCGGCCTGCCTTAGACCCAAACAGTCGATGGCGTCAGGCACAGGAGGCGTCATCTACTCGCCTATTAGATTGTCAAATGATCATGAAACACATACAGAAATCTGAGGCCCAGATCTAAAAATGTTGAAGCCACTGTTTATTTATTTTATTTTGTATAAAATTGGTATGACCAATAAATAAAACTCGTAACATGAAAAGTTACTGTATTAACGTCTGTTATATGGTATCATGGTCCTAATAGTATGTATAAAAGAATATGGACGGATTTTCGTTTTTATATTAATCTAATTAGTGTATTATTTAAAACTTTACAGCACGATTTTATATAAAGTCGAACGGGAAAAAAGTTCTGCTATACAATGGCTATACGTACTTTAAAAGGGAACTGCTCAGTAACCAAAATCAGCGATTTATTTGCTCTAAAACAAAATTTGGAAATTGCAAGGCGTATATTCATATTACAAAGGATCTACATGTTGCCAAGGAATGGGGTAGTCACAACCATGACCCGCCGAATTATGCTCTACAGGACGATCTTATTATTTTCTTTTAATTGTGTAAAGGCCTGTATTCACTTTGATTAGTGCGAGTGAAAGTGATTAGTAATTGAGGATGATTAGTGCAGGTGTGTAGTGCAAGTAGTGTCCAATTATTGTTTAGTGGCTCTGTTAAGTAAATTCAGTTGTCATATAGTTTGGCAGGCACGCTGCGAGTGAGGGGGGAAGGGAGTCACAAGGGAGCAGTTCACTCGCAAAAAAATAAACACGCTTCTAATCGCTTTACTACGCAGCCAACTAATCACCTGCACTAAACAGTCGCTGTCCACACTGTTTTCTTCTAACCACTATTCACCTGCACTAATCACTAATCAAAGTGAATACAGGACTTAAAGGCTAGTTGGTCAAATTCTTAGGGTAAGAAATTAAACACTCCAATAATGACTTGATTCACTTTAATTGATTTCACTGACTTTACATAAACTATAACTGTAACTGCGGACTTGGACAAAGGAATTGCCCGTGCGCATGTGTCACGACCTCTTTTATAATCTATTCCCTACTCCGACTCGACCATCCCACTTCGGGGTGATGTTCGAGTCAATTCGTAAACAACCGAACGAGTAAAATAAGCAACTATTGCACCATGCGCACTTGTAGCAAGATTATTAAGAATATGTTTCATTAAAATGTTTAGAATTTAATTAAATAAATATTAAAAGATAACAATTGTATTAATATATTTTATATCCTCATAACTGAGTATAAATTATATATATTCTCATTTTTTTATTGGACAATTCACAGCTTTTGACCTAGTCCCATGCTAAGCTGGTGAAGCTTTTGTTATGGGTACTAGGCAACGGATATACATACATAGTCGGTCCCAAAGTTCTGTCATAAATGGAAATAATGATAAAAACAAAAGTACTGATCAGTTTGTAATGAGTGATATATCAATTCTTAGTACATTAATTAAGGAATAAAAAAAGCATAAAAATATTCGAAATAACCTCCCTCATTTTTAATACAGGCCCTTAAGCGTCGCGGCCAGTCGTCTATCGCAGCACGCACCATATTCGTGTCGATTTCAGTCACTGGTTTTTTTAAAGATGACTTCAGATTCTCCAAATTTTCATGAGGTTTATCACAGACCTTCCTCTCTAAGCCCTGTCATAATTTCTGGTCCAAAGGATTAAGGTGACTGGAGGAAGGCCAATCCTCATGTCTAATTAAGACGATGTTTTGACCTCAAACCAGGCTTTAGTGGTCTTGGCTTTGTATGCAGACGCAGAGTCCTGCTGGAAACGAAGTGATGTCCCGCAAATAGGGTGCTGGACATGTCTTTGACAAGGCGATACAAAACCGTCTCTTGGTACACTGTAGCATGGTTTTGACCCCTTTTTCGGAAAAATTACCTCAGTTAGCCCGTAATAGGACACTCCCAACCAAACCATTACTGATGATGGATGATGTCCATGTTGCACCCTTGGAACTTTATTTTCAGCTTCTTCAGAACTCCTAGCGTACACTGTATAATTCTGTTTATTGTACTTCTCTTCAATATCGAAAAATTTTTCGTCCGTAAAGAGGATATCACGGTGTCGGTTTTTCGGTACCGCTTAAACAACACCCGCGATCTCTTAAGCCTTATTGCTTTTAGACGAGCATTAAGTAAGTGCCCACTCTTTTTTTGTATGCTCGTAGACCAAGATCTTCATTTAAAACCTTTTTACTGTTTTCCTACTGACACCCATCTGCAAATCCATCAACTTCTGTTTTGAAGGATTTTTACTATCCGCGCCTTGATAGCTTTGATTACTGTGGTGTTTTGGGAGCGTGGCCAGCAGTTCTTTTCTTGTCCTCAACACTGGAGACTTCAAGGTACCTATCAATAGTACCGTACACAAACCTAAGCGTTATATTCAAATTTTTGAGAACTTGAAAATGGTACTGGCGAGTGTCCAAGGGTGCAACGCAATAACAACTATTCGGTTTACTTTCAAGTCCACTCCATCGTGAAAAATTACGGAAAGTTATTGTTTTTGTTTTAAAACAATAATCAAACATTCCAAAATAGAATGCAATAATTTTTTTATAAAATCCTGCTCGAAATTAGAAATAATGGGTACTAGGCAACGGATATACATACATATTATAGATAGATAGACATATAAATACATGTTTAAACACCCAAGACCTAAGCACAACACCAAATGCTCATCACATCGCTGTTTGTCTCAGCCGGGGATCGAACCCGAGAGCCATGGTTTCGCAGTCAGGGGAACTAACTACTAGACCACTGAGCCGTCATTAAAAACATAAAAGTAAAATATATCACGGCACTGTCGCTCAATGGGCTGGTATTTCAAATTTGGGACTAAAGGAAAATTAATTATGCCATTGCAATCTACGATTTTAAGACAATTTACTGATAAAACGTTTTTTTATAGGACGTATTAATAACTTTACCTAAATCAAAACTCTTAGAACTAAAGTGTAAAATGGATGCCGTAAAATAGCTATGTAGAAACAAATCAATAAAATCAAAGTCACGTTTTATAAATCCCTAAGTCCACGTAGACCTTATATCAGGCCACTGTGCGTCATATGATGCTGTTATTGCATTAGAGTCTATTTACCAAAAAACATTGCTACTGTTTCCCCGCTTGAAGGAAACTATATTATACTGTTTAAGAAAGATCGGGGCAAGGAGAACGAATTCTGTTGTATCCGCTTATGTACCCGACCGATTGTTCTGGGTATGGTGGGTTATGACCAGCTACGCCTCAGAAGAGAGCTAGCTTTGTCAGTGTATTTATTTAAGATACTTACGGGTCGGGTTCATAATCTGGATATAATGGAGAGACTGGGTCTACGGGTACCAAGTAAAAGCCTGAGACGGAAGTCTAAACTTTTGGATGTACCGCGCGTACATTCCAACTTGTCTAGCGAAGCGCCACTCACGCGAGCAATACATATAATAAATAGAATTTCTGTTGAGGTAGACCTATTTGTTTGTACACTGGCTCAGTTCACAAGAGTTGCTTCCTAAATTATTAGTTATAAGGTATGTAAATATCAATTAATTAATATTAATTATTAGTTATAAGGTATGTAATTATTAGTTATAAGGTATAATTATTAGGTATGTAAATATATTTCTTTAATGTTTTTTTTTATATGTTATAATTAATGTGTCGTTCTGTCGAATTAGTGTTAACTGTAAAGATAGAATAATGATGTGGAAATAAATAAATGTTTTCAAAGTCAGTAGAATATGCATCTCCTGAACGTGCCCATCGATAGGCCGCATCTCAGCTTTAGTGGGATTGTGGAAAATCGTCTGTCCAGTTCTGTATAAAAACTACCTACATGTATGTGCGTTGATTTTTTTATAACTGTTTCAAACTCCACACCAATTTTTTTTAATATTATTATATAATTTAATTTAAAGCTTTAAATGCCTCTTTAATTGTAATATTAATTTGCCTTCTACCCTCATATTAGTGCGCGAAACACCCGGATAGTTCTACGTTAAGAGTTACTATCGTTATCGTATATGTTAATGCTACAAATTTCAATAGTCAGAGTATTTGTTTTAAGTTAACGATAAACGTCGCGAGCGCCGTTTGAGTGCTCTCATAGGCGGATAATTCTATCACGCCACTCGGCTCACTCGGACGTGTCAGTGATTGCAGTATCTCTACTGGTACGTTATATTTACTTGTTATTTACGTTTAAAGTTTGTTTGTAATATTCATTTACTTAAATTAAGCTTAGTTTTCCGTGTTAGTTTGTTTTTTCGTTACAACATATTTTATCTTTATCTTTGTTTTTTAATGAAAACTTCTCTTCCCTGTTGTATTTCCCCTGTTTCACGAGACGCCAAGCTAGAGACTACGTCCAGGGTAGATAAGGAAGTAACATATTACTACTTTCTTTGTATTTTTTGCTTCTTGTAATTTTGTTTTACGTTGGTTTTATACTATATAGAAATTATTTAATGTTATTTTCAAAATGTTTGAATTAGTTTTTTAATATTTTTAGATTATGCCTCCTCAAAAAACATAACTCGTGAAAAACGTCTTGAAAAAAAGCGTGTGGCAGAACGATTGAGGTACCAACGCATAAAAAATGACCCCGAAAAGTATTCCCAACAAAGGGAAAAGGAAAAGAAGAAATATAAAAGAAAAAAAGAGAAGGGAACTATAAAGACCGTAAACCAAATGACACCCAGAGAAAATCTAAAAGCTAGAAAGATATGGAGAGAAAAGGCAAAACAGCAGAGACGACGTTGAGCTCTTCAACATTTTTGTACCATATACAAAATAAATATTATTATCAACAAATTAACACTTTACTATATCAAATCTCAATTGTTTTTATATTTTCGTGCTAGTTGTTTTAAGATTTATCTTTCTTCAATCGCCAAGGAAACATCTAAAGCAATCTGTTTTCACCGGTTTCTGTCCTGCGCCTCTTATCTGTACAGCTTTGAGGTCGACGAGTCTTTCACTTAATCGGTTCATCTGGTTGGTGAACGTCCAGATAAGATTACGATATATGTATAATATAGTATATAATAACATAGTATTTTTTGCAGTGAGATTTTACAGAAAGATGAACGGGGCAACGCTACTTCTTCACAATGGTTACACGTTTTGCAAAAAAGCAGATCTTCAAAATCAAAACCAACGTTATATATGTTCTAAAACAATCTGTTCGAAATGTAAGGCATATCTTCATATTACGAAGGACCTGCTGATTTCTAAGGAATGCCGAAGTCACACTCACCCACGGCCGAAATATATTTTAAAAGATGATGTTATTATTATGCTGTAAAGTTATATATTTTGGCCAAAAGGATAACTACGTAGTGATAATCTTAATTAGAGATGAAACAGATATTCGGTAACTATCCGGCTAATCCGGTTCAAATTTTAAATCTGGCTGAATACCGGATAAGTATCGAGTATCCGGCCGTATACCGGATAAATTGAAGGTACTTTACACTTTGCTTACCACCATATGGATGCGCACTGAATTCTGTTATGATAATTATATATTAATATATTACTCTAATGTATATATGTCTAAAAGTAATGCATGAAATATATTTATATTAATAATATTAGTTACTAATATTAGCTGTAGAGGAGTTGTTCTGAGCTCTGCAGCTGAGTTTCATCATCGGACGTCTAGGCGGAATACGCAATACCACCCGTATCACCTCCACGTCCGTCGTTCTGCGTCACACCAACTAGGTAATAAACATCTTGTGCACAGGATATTACAAATTTGTTGCACGCGTAATTATGAATTTCTACAATTACATTGTTAAATATTTATTATGATTGTAATTATAAAAACTTGTACTTAGGCTAAGTTTTTTTGAAGAAATAAAGGTTTCATTTCATAAAAACCTAGATTTTTCAACATACCATTTCTCTGGCATTGAGTGGCCATGGGTGGCGGGGAGGTATCACTTAACATTAGATAAGCCCGTTTGCGGTTGTTTTATAGTAGTATATGTAAAGTCGTTCTACTGTTGGAGTTACTGTTACCTTGTTTCTGCGTCAATTTTATCGAATATTGTTACGGGCAAAAAGGTAACTAGGCAAGGACATAGGATTAGGCACGATAGGCCAACAACAAAACACACAATAAACCATATAAAAGTATAATTAATAAAAATAAAGTAACTTGCATTTAACCATGGCCCATGTTTGAAATCCTTATTTTTATTGTTATTTGATTGCTAAACGAAGGCGACAAGAATTTACCCTGCCACCTAACACGGTAAAATCTGTAATAAAACAACTAGTAAGTGACGTCGACGTTCCTATGTTTTAAAGTATGCTATGAAGTTCGTCTAATAAAACCTTTGTTTCGTCCAAATCGTCATTCACCGTCGTCACAGCGTGACCGCAGTCATCGCAGGCTGCGACAGCCGTTTGCCTGGGTCAGACAACGTCTCACTCTGGTACGTATTATTAAACAGTATTTAATATTATTTTAAATAATTATGACATAATATTGTTAAACTTGCGTCAATAAACTAAAAATATTAAATTAGAAACGAAGTTTATATATTTCATACGTTTGGCAAAAGACGTAACAAATCATACTTCTCTGTGCATGCCAGGGCAGTGATATTTAATTTAATGGTAGCTTTTATTTATAATTGGGATTAAATTTACTAAAATTACATTTTATACATTTTTTATGTTTGTTACAATTTTTTACACTTTTACGCAATATTTGGTATAGTTGATATTTGGTATTGAAAAAAAAACATTTGTTACAGAATTCCAGCCAAAGAAAACGCCCCGAGGTAGAGAAGAAATGTTAGAAAAGAAACGTGAAAATGAAAGAAAACGCTACGCCAGAATTAAGAACGATCCGATAAAACTCGCCGCTTATAAAGCAAAACATAGAAGACGACGACGAAGACGACGAGACGACGAAAACATTTAAAGGCAAGAGCTGCGGGCTTAATAAAAATAATTAACGATATGACAGAACGTGAAAAACGTAAATGTAGAAAGTCCTGGAGAGATAGATCTTCTAAATACTATAAGACTGAATGTGTTAAAGACGCTACTGAAGATGTAATGCTAAGGTCGCATTAGGGAGCGTTCAAGTATTACGTCACGCAATTTTTGGGGATTATTGACATCCCCCCCCCCATGTAACGCGCCGTAACGTTTTTCTGTACCCAATGTTGAAAATGTTCCATATGTTGGTAAGTAGCTAATAAAAGTCAAAAGTCAAAGTCAAATTATATCAATTAGGTCTATTAAAAAGGTACTTTTTAAATTCATAATTAAGATTATTAAAATAAATCACTCTAGCTGCCTCTTCCAAAAAGTAGTTTCATATGGAGAAGAATGGGCAAGAAACTCCATACTTACCCTTTCAAAAAGGAAGTTAGCCTTATGTTTTAGCAGCTATATAGGAAATAATCGGAGGCAGTGCTTATTAAGTTCTTCATCCGGTCGCGTTCTTTGAACTTAATAAAATTATAATTCAACATTCTTACACGGGATTATATTTTTATAACAGTTACTCTTGCACGTTTCCAATAATATTTCTTTACTTGAAACCTAGAAGAGATCGATTGCTACCACTTGCTTACGAGTCCCCCCGTTACCTACCTAATTTATGTTCGATTTTATTAACCAATTGTATTGAATACTATTTTTGACTAACCAGGCTCCAGAAGATAAGTCACTTCTTATATGGAAATTGTTTTCGTTTTTACAACAAACTCCCAAGCGAAATGAGAGAATAATCGCTGAATAAATTCAAATTCAAACAAATAATATAAATTTGACTAAAGCTGTTTATGTAATTGATCCTAATCCTTGGTCCAGTTCAAACAATTTGTATGACTCAAAACTTGGCGATTAAAGAGAGTGGCGGAGAGTTTCTTGCCAGTTCTTGTTGCTAGCTCTACGCCCTTGATTTGCGAACTGGTATTAAATGTAAATTTTGTATCAATTTAACATCTTTTCTGTTGACGTTCATAAGTGTACTTGGTTACCTATATGAATGAAGTTATTTTGAGTTAGAGTTTATTTCATAAATATTTTATTACAGATTTTAACATATAATTTTTTTTCTAGCCAAAATCTATAGAAAGCCTTCGGGGACGAGTGTCTTACTCTACAAAGATAATACTTTCAGTAAACACAGATTAAGCAGTACCACTGGGCAACGTTATAGATGCTCGAGTTACTCGACCACTAAATGTAAGGCCTACCTTCATACGACGGAGGATATGAAAGTAGGCAAAAAATGTATGGATCATAACCACGCGCCACCGAAATTCCTTATACATAATGATGTAATACATAAGTATTGAATATTAGATGTAGTACGTGTACAGGTTTTATTACCTCTAGGATAAGTTTTTTGGGTCTCATAAGAATAAACAAGTTGTAAACAAGAGGTCTTTTGTAATTTTGTTGCATAATTGTTATACTAGCTGACCCAGGAAACGCTTCATATAAAGAGTATACTGCTCCCTTAAAGGCCGAAAACGCACCCACTGTCCATGGGTTGCGATGACTGCCCTTTTTTGGGCATCCCGTAGGCCCGTTTGCCCCCCTACCTATATTCATATGGAGGTTGGTATAGTGTAGGCAGGCAAACGGCCTATTTTATAATCTATATTAAAAAAATGCTAAGCGCAAAACTCGAATACGGCTAGACCAATGCGAGTCGTTTCGATAAACTCTGGGAAGATTTTTATTATGGCGCGTCTAATCGGGCCATGTTTTGCTGCAATTGATGGCTGCAACACTGTGGCCGGCAACATTGCAAACAATAGCAGCCACACTATGCAATATTGCAGTAATGTCCCGGCCATATAGCCAAACATGTTTTGTATAGCCACATATGGCCGATGTTGCCCCGATGGGTGGCCGGACGATCGCTAGGCTATCGAATTCAACTGCAATTTTGCACAGCCGGTTCTCTTGTTGTTTCAGTCACTCTCTTTGTTATGGCACAGTGTATCCTTTTCTACGCGATATGACGTTTGCTATGAGTGAAGTGTGCCTGTTGCTATATTCTGTGTTTTGCGATCAGCTGTATTTGACGTTAGATTACTACGTAAAAATTACTGCTTTTGACATTCTAGTTCTTGAATAATTTATTATCAAGACTTATTTCTAGACTGAAATTGTCTACAGTTTCATGCCTATTTAAGTAAGGTCGAATCCACAATCTCTTCTTTTTCTGTTTCTTTTTTAAAACAATATAAGCTGCTGCGACAAGTGTGATTTCGTCAGCCATTGTTGCCGGTTTGTGTAGCCCGTTTAGGAGTCTGCATCATGGGCCATACTATTGCAGACATATTGCAACACATTGCCCAGCCATAGATTGTTCGGCCATCAGCTGCATTAAAATATCTTTGTAATGGCCGGGCAATTAGTGGCCAACAGTGTAGCCATCAATTGCAGCAAAACATGGCCCGTTTAGACGCGCCATTAGAAAAATATTTTAAAAGATGTATTTGGGTTTTTATTCCAGAAAATGTTCCATATGTTGGTAAGTAGCTAATAAAAGTCAAAAGTCAAATTATGTCAATAAGGCCTATTAAAAAGGTACTTTTTAAATTCATAATTAAGATTATTAAAATAAATGACTCTAGCTGCCTCTTCCAAAAAGTAGTTTCATATGGAGAAGAATGGGCAAGAAACTCCATACTTACCCTTTCAAAAAGGAAGTTAGCCTTATGTTTTAGCAGCTATATAGTAAATAATCGGAGGCAGTACTTATTAAGTTCTTC